GGGGCTGAATTTGATAAATTTAACCTGTACATGTGCTAAGAACATTCTCTGAAAATTTCAGCCTCGAAACTTTGCTGGTCCACCAGTTACCCATTTTCCCGCCAAAAATTTTCTCAGGGCCGTACGTGAGTACCACATATAATTAGGGGTTGAAATCGACAAGTTTAATTTGTACTTGTGCTGTGAACATTCTCTGGAAATTTCAGCTCCCCAGCTTCCCTGGTTCTCGAGCTAGCGATTTTCGCGCCAAACTTTCACCCCCTCGTACACGGGGCTCAGACTTGCATGAGGGTTGGTACCGCGGTCCTGGGGTGGCACTTGGCCGGGGAACTCACCGGCATAATTTAGCATCCAAGCTTGCTTGCGTGCCAAGTTGAAATATCTGGACAGACGCACACATACACATACACACACACACACACACAGACACTCACACCGGGATCGTCACAACATGCGTTTTTGCATTTGCATATAAGCAAAACGCATAATACGTTTACAAGGGTGGGAGGATGAGGAACACGACAGCAGAGAGAAAGGGAGGAGGAGGCTGATCCCTCCTCTGTATTGAAAAAGGCCTGAAGCTTGAGTCATAAATAGCGGTAAGCATCAGGGTGGTCGGTACGATATGTGTTTTGCGCAGTTCAACAAACGTGTGCTGTTCAGAATTTTTACAGTCTGGTTTCCAGTCTGAGAAATCCCCAGTAAAAATTTCAGCTACAGATGCGAGAAAAGTAAGCGTAAGTAGAAGCTGAGTTTCAAACCTAGAACACGAAGACGGTACATCGCCCTTAAATTTCAACTTTTAGTTTCCTGTCTAGCAAATTAGTGATTTTCGCCCTGAAACCTTCAAGTGATCATGCCAGGAGCCTAGGCATGCATGGAGCTGAATTCGAGTTTTTTTCGAACGAGTTCCCTTAAACAGAAAACACCCCCCTGAAATGTCATCCTCCTAGTTCTTTTGTTTCCTCCAGATATATGCAAAAACTAAATTTTTAAGGCTATATGTGGACAGGGGACAAAAAAAAAACTTCGGCCTTCCAGCTTTTGTGTTTCCCGATAGAATAATTTTTTCCGCCAGGACTTTCGCAGGACCGCACGTAAGATCCGAGAGCACGGAAAGGCTGAATTTGCAGGGGTGTACGCAAGCGGGGAATAATCCCCCAAGGTTTCAAACTCCTAGCTTTTGTGTGTCATGAGGTAACAATCATTCTTACCAAAAATTTACGGAAGTGCACGTGAAGCCCGGACGCATGGGAGGCAGAATTTAAGTCTGCAGGGTCGCATGCGGGCGAGAAACAG